TTTTTCTTTTTTTTTTTTTTTTTTTTAAATATTGTCTTCAAATAAATTGTAGCTGACCTGTATGTACTTTAGGTATATAAGTGCTCCAAATATTAATACTATGTACTAATTGATATTTTAAAAAAAAAAAAAACTGCCATCCAGTCAGATCCATGGGTTTCCCAGGCAGTATCACTACAGAAAGACATTGCCCAACCTTCCTTCCAAGGAGTGGCTGATCGGTTTGATCTTCTGGTTGGCAGTCAAATGCCTTAGGCACTATGCCACCAGAGCTCCTATATTAATTGATACCCAACTAAATTTTAATTTAGCTATTATACTTATTTAAGGGGCCCTCATGGTGCAGTGGTTAAAGCTTTCAGCTGCTAAAATAAAAGTTGGCAATTTGAACCCAACAGCTGCTCTGTGGAATAAAGATACTGCAGTCTGCTTCTGTGAAGATTTGCAGTGTTTGAAACCCTAGGGAGCAGGTCTGCTCTGTCATATAAGGCCACTATGAGTTAGAATTTACTCGATGCAATAGATTTGGGGTTATAGTGGTTTATTACAGTTATTTAAAAATGACAAGCACCTAGGTTAAGAATATATCAACATTATTTTTTAATACTATTTAATAATCCAAATTCAAATGCCATCAGTTTCTAAGTTACTTAAATCACCTTTTCACTTGTTTAAAAATTATCCTCAGAAGAAATTGACTACTTAGCTTTTTCTTTCTCAAAATTTCTTAGAGCCCAGTGGGATTCCTTTATTTCAAAAGCCTTTAGTGGTGAAGAGCTCTGATAAAGGGTTGTCAGAAGTAATGGAACCTGAAGTCATTTTGAAGCCATAGATACTCTTGACCTGGGGTCCATGTAGAGACCTCAAGAAGGCTCTATGACTCTCCTACAATTATATTAATCATCTTTCTCCTTCTGCTCATTCTGGGCCATTTAGCTACTTAAAAACTGTTTTCAATCCCTAGACATACTATGATTAATAAAGGGATGAAGTCTTTAAAAAGTACTACTTCTTTTAAAGGAAGCTGGATAAGATTTATTGGGAATGGAAGTAGAAAATTCCATTTTGCTTCAGACGGGACTTGAGGGTTTTCAACATTCTGTATTACCTTGTGTCCATCACAGATTTATGTAAATATTGAGCCAATATGTTTAAGAACTTTGCATGAGACAGAGTAAGAACTATCTACATCAACTTTGATATTGTTTGTAATGTGTGTTTTTAGCAATACGGCCAGTATGCTCTTGCCGTAAGAGGCTCAGACCGAGATGGCGGGGCAGATGGCATGTCAGCAGAGTGTGAATGCAGCATTAAAATTCTCGACGTCAATGATAACATCCCATATATGGAACTGTCTTCAGTAAGTATTTGTTCCTGAAATGAACAACTTTAAATTCATTACATTCTAAAATTTATATAAACAATTCTCTTTACAGATGTACCTTACTCACATAAAATCCAAATATACACACATTAATTTACTTGTGTTAGTTTGTATAATGTTTAGAAAAGAAATTGATTTGAATAATGAAAATAAGACTATAAGTACCAATCTTTTTTAAAATAAGGAATCACCATAAACATTTTAGTGGAAGTCTAGTATAGTTCTTCTCTCATTCACACAGTGTGTATAAAGATGTTTTACTTTTCATTTCAGAATTCAGTAAGCATTAAAGAAAACTCTCTAAATTCAGAACTGCTCCAGATCAGAGTGATTGATTTGGATGAGGAGTACTCAGCTAACTGGATGGGAGAAATTTTCTTCATCTCTGGAAATGAGGGAAATTGGTTTGAAATAGAAATGAATGAAAGAACAAATATGGGAATTTTAAAGGTTGTTAAGGTATGGAACAATTATGCTACATCTTCTGATATCTTGGTCTTAAAAAAAAAAATGTTAAGTTTAAAATAAATAGTTCATATGGCACAAGCAAGTCAGCAAAAGGACAGATAGTACCGTGCTTCAAATTGATGCCTGATACAGAGCTTTTGTTATAGAGAGCCTTTTCCTTACATTACTTCAGGAAAACAGGCATTGAACTTTGACTGAAAACTCTTTTCCATCAATACAGTAATTCCACAGATTATATAAATTGAAAGCATTTTTGTTTTGTTTTGTTTTACTTTTGTTGTTTTTTTTATTGTGCTTTGGGTGCAAATTTACAAGGCAAATTTGATTTACATTCAATAGTGCATGCACATTTTATTTCACTGCCCGATTACCATTCCCAACCACAAAAAATTCTCCTCCGCTCCCTCACTGTAAGTAGCCCCACCCTGTGCCCTTCTTAACTATGCACTCCTGTCTGTCCAGTGAAAGCATTTTTAAGCAAGAATTTGATTTTTCGCTTCCATCAAAGAAATTATAATTAATTCTTAAGGTTTTGTTTTAGATGTTTTAAGAATCCTTTATTAAAAATAGTTTCACAGAAGCTTGAAAATGTGTCCATGTCAACAATGTAAGTCAATTATGCACCAGGAATGTTCAGCAAGCACATTAAACATTTACTCATCAATTGCTTTTATAAAATTAAAGTTATAAAGTACTTTGATTTTAGGATTATTGCATTCTAATCTCACTGAAGCTCTGGTGGGATAGTGGTTAAGGCATTTGGCTGCTAGCCAAAATGTCAGTGGCTTGAACCCACCAGCCTCTCCTCACCAGCCTCTCCACGGAAGAAAGATGGAGTGGTCTGCTTCCATAAAGTTTTACAGCCTTGGAAACCCCAGTAGGGAGCATTATGAGTTGGAATCAACTCGATGGCAGTGAATTTGGTTTTTGGAGTTTAATCTCACTGTGGCTGTTGACCAATACTGTAAAGAACATAAATAAACTAGAGATTTGGTCTCAGGCAACATAGTTCTCCTACATGGACCGCCTGTTAATGAACTATCATAGTAGAATTTCCTCTAAGATGTAACTCCTGGGGAGCTGATAGTGAACATTTCTCCCTGTGCTATGAGACTTATAGATTAGATTGTTTAAACCTACAGTAGCTAACAGAGCCTGGTGTAAC